CGGTACGAAGGTCGAACTTCTATCACGTGCTGGTCCACGTGGGTATCAGCGTGAACATCGTTTTATCAACTTTTATGCTTTTTAACTATTGTTCTGTTCTAGTATCTAATTGGCTGTTATCATGTTCTGTTTTGTTATTGGCTAGCTGTATTTTAGAAAGGGTATAAAGGAGCTTGCCTGTTTTAGAGTAGGCGGCTTTTCAGTGTGGGCGTTCCCGTCTTGCCAAAAGAATTGTGGCCGCCGTTTCCCGATGTTAGAAAGTCGAAGCGTGTGTCGCTTGAAAGACGTCGCTGTTGTCCTGTTGCCATTCGAAGTGTTTAGTTCAAAGACGCCACAAGTCGCCAACACTAAAGCAAGCAAGCTAAAGGTCGTGAGTGCTTTGTTATCTTTGTTATTCTTAGTGTTTCTACATTCATTATATTGAGCATATGAGACTGATGTCATATGAAGTTTTTCGTTGACTCACAAACTGTTAGACTTAGAGGCGTAGTCTAATAGAAATTATGAACGTGACCCAATTTTCCGAATACCGTATCTACTCTAATATTCCCGCTGCGGGATTAGCGTTTCAACCTAACAAAAAAGGCGGGATTATTAGAGAGGCGGGTATATTGGAGAGGCGGGATTATTTTTTCAATGCCTGGAAGTCTAGTTTGAAGATGTTCTGTCGAACCTTCAGCCATCTTTTACTTGATGCTACGTTTTATATCAAGTCAGTACTCTTTTGTGCTTGGATTGTAGGACGGTTCGGATAAACAGGGGGTGGACGTTTTTCTACATTTTCGTACAGTAAGGGGTTATTAAAAAATGACCCATGGGAAAAGTAGAAAATAAACCCATATATGGGGGTTAAAATTAAATGGGGGTGGTACATTTCTTTTCACAGACAAGACAGAGCAGAAATTGTGCTTTATAGACAGTAGTACGAAGTCAAAGAATCAAATGTCTTTTTATGCTGCAAGACTTGGATGTTTGATAAACTTGCAAAACAAGACAGCTCTCTGCCCTCTCCCGTGATTTAACCATTCACTCCAAGCATAAGTTTCAGTCTTTGATTTTGAAGCCGATACAGAATGTGTAAAGAATAGCAAATTCCAATTGAAAGTTTCAATCCCGCATGCGGGATTACTGGGGAGGCGGGATCATTCTTACAATCTATGAAATACAAGCGGGATTACTAGAGAGGCGGGAATAAAAGAGAAGCGGGAATAAGAGTAAATACGGTATGCCGACCAACATAATCTTATTTTTTGGGTCACGAAGATGAATCAATAAAAAAATGCCGTTTGGTGCCGTTTTTGAGATAAAATAAATTTAAATTTTGAACTATTTCTCCGTGGAACTGACAATATATCAGGTATACTCACATTTTAAAATTTTGTATATAAAATGAGCCGATCAGGCTTCAAGTTCACTCCGCCATGCTCAGGTCTTTTGTGGTTGTGGTGACACAAAACCCTATAACATTGCACCTCCCACGAGGCCTGGATCGCAATCAAAGTGTCACATGGTCGGTTGGCGGGAAAAATTTTGCGCGTCGCTTGCAGGCGCAAAAGCTTTTTGCTCAGCGGCTGCAAACATTCTTGCTCTATGTTATCACTAAGTTTAAAGGTTATTTTCGCCAGCCAAATTTTGTTTTTGTCTGATAGCGCAATCGATCTTCGAACAGTCCGGCTAATTTCGTGAGGGGAGTGTACATACACTACAAACTTACAAAAAGAATGAAACTACACCGTGGTTAGCAAACCAAATTTATTATTTATATAAGTATTGCAAAATATTGAGGCCCTTGTTTTTGAAAAAAAATAGAAATATTCTTAAAGCACTAAAGTTCTAAAATTTCGCGAACCTTAAGAAACTGGTGTACTCACTGTCGAGAATGGTTTCTTATAAAAAATGAGTGTATTTTATTGAGTTCCATTTATTTTTCTGCCATTCGATTTAGTCTAAATCATTATTCATATTCGTTCTCTGCTAATAATTATGTTTCTGAGCACATTTCACGCCTTTTCTTCTTTTCTCGAAACTTTAGGCCGTTCCCTTCTTATCAAAACATTATCTGACGTAAGAATTTGTCGGCGCCTTTGAAAAACTGTGATGTAATGGACTCGATTTCACTCTGCTTTCGTTCAAAGTAAAATTTCCAATGATAGAGGGTTAACACCTGATAACCACATTAAATTCTGTAGCGAAAATCGACAATTTTAGTATGTTAAATGATCACTTTTCAACTTGTTGGTCCAATATCGAAATAAGTGATGGTAAAAAGTGATCGTGTAACCCGGCCTTAAAGGGGAACTGAAGTGAAAAACGATTTTTTTACCACTGATAAAGGTTCCCGTGCTGATTCAAAAACCGTTTGAATTTTTTAAATACGTTATGTAGTTTTTAAGTTATTAAGTTTTTAAAGTCGAAATTTGCCCTCATCGATGGCGGAGCGAGAACGCGGTCAGACCACTGTGTCACGTGACCTTGTGACGTAAAGTGGTGGACACGAAGAGATGTTTTGATGAAATGTAGTAGTGAGTTTGATAAGGTTCATGACAGGTAACAATCGTGAAAATTGTGATAAAAGCATGAAACTTGGTGAAAATACAGAATTCGATATGCGTAACAAGATAGAATATAGACCCATTTTGGGAAAAAAACCCTTGTGCTATTTTTAGCCTGGGGTACTTGTGCCCAGTACTCAGAATATGTTGGCATGGTCAATCTGTTTCTGTGAACTATACAGCCATGAAACTTGGCAAACCGACACAATTTGACTTGCTGAAAATGATAAGAATGGTCCCCACCCTCAGAAATGCCCCTTGTGCTATTTTTAGACTGGGGTACTTGTGCCCAGTACTCAAAATACGTCAGTATGGTCAATCTATTTCTGTTAACTATACAGCCACGAAACTTGGCAAACCGACACAATTTGGCTTCTGAAAATGATAAGAATGGTCCCCACCCTCAGAAATGCCCCTCTTGCTATTTTTGGACTGGGGTACTTGTGCCCAGTACTCAGAATACAATAGTATGGTAAATATATTTCTGTTAACCATACAGCCATGAAACTTGGGAAATCTACACAATTTGACTTGCTGAAAAAGATAAAAATGGTCCCCATCCTCAGAACTACCCTTGTACTATTTTTAGACTGGATACTTGTGCCCAGTACTCAGAATACGTTAGTATGTTAACTATACAGCCATGAAACTTGGCAAACCCACACAATTTACTTGCAGAAAATGATAGAAGTGGTCCCCCACTTCAGAAATACCCCTTCAAACATGATTTCTCATGCTTTGTCTACAGAACATGATATCAAAGCACTTTCTGATTTAACTCCAGGCATAAAAAACAATTCATACCAGGATGTACATAAAGGGGGAGGATTTAAAGCACAACCATTAAATGATGTATATGTTTCCAAGTTTATTAAATGTTGAGTTGAAGCGAATTTCAGAAAAATACAACCATTGGGCACAAAAAAACTTCATTTTCAAAATTTAAAAACAGTGTATCTAAACAACAGGCAGTGACAGAATACATTAACAGAACATTGTACCCTGAAGGTAAAACATTTTCCTCTGATTATTTATAAAAAATGTTACCAAGAAGGTGGTACAGGACCATTATTGTAAGAGAAAATCTTGATCAAATCCAAACTATTCTACACATTTTGATGTGAGTGAACTATGTTGAAAAGTACACCTTAGGAATCTTAAAAATATCAAGCCTTGCTCAATCCCCCCCCCCTTGATGTGACTAATCTAGTGATTTGGCCTAGGGCTGACAAGATTTGGCCATTGTCCCACTAGTTTCAACAAATTTCTCTTCTTGCTATTATGAACTAAAAGTCTGATCCTTTTGAATAACCCCGTGTATATAACCATGTTCTCCACTGTATATGTAGTAGGTAGCTGATTTTTGCATTTTCATTGTCTCTCTGCAGAATTTTGAAACTCTTGTCTTCTTTGACTAAAGTTCTTTTCTTTACATTTGTGATAAATGCATACTTAAAGTTGTCCAGTTATCCAGCACAAATACCCAAAAACCAGCAAACCATACATTGATCGGCCACTGTTTGTAGATACCTAGCAAAGTGGATATAATTTTAGGTATTATTCTATTTTAGGCATATTTATGCAATTCTATTAAATATTTGACATTTTCGAATTATCAGTCCAAAAATCTGAATTGCAGGAAGATTTAATAATACTTGTCAATGTACACAAAACAAACCAGTTTTTAAACCAAAAGTGGATTAGGTCGACCTGTTCCGTGCTACACATCAAACTATGTATAAACGTTTTTATATCAAAGCAAATATTTATTAAATTGTAACATGTAATAATCCTTATTATTTCAGATTTTAGAAATGGAAAGATTATAATTGGAAGCCTACTCATTCTCTGTTGTATCTTACTTTTTATAAGGAAATAAGGAAATTGAGTTTGAGTATTTCTTGCCTTCATTGCAAGAAAAGAAACAAGGATCGACGTACCATTTATTTACTTCCTCATTTCTACCAACAAAACGAGCACGTCGCGGGAGATAATTCATCCTCATCCTCTGGGATCTCATCGGGCCTATGCTAATCTTCATCGGGCCTATGCTAACTTTCGCAGGTCCCGTTCGCCCTTGGTAGGGCAAGTACTTCACCACCACATGCTCCAAACACTTCATCGTCGCTCGATCTTAAGTCTGTTGTCATTCCTGAAGAGCTGTCGTGAAAATTGCGATCTGAAATTTTACCTACTAACCAAATTCCCTCCCTCCGATTCACTCTACTACACTGTTGTTTTCGTTAGGTTCGGGGCACGTGTCCACGACTTTACGTCAGCGCCTGAAACTTGTCTCCAGACCTCTCCGCCACGGAAATGGAGAAATTTCACACTTTGCGCGTTAAATGCAGGAAAACGAAAAGAAAAACACTAATTTCGTGTCGATATTCGAAATCAGCACGATGAAAACTACTAATTAAATGATTTTCATTTTTCACTTCAGTTCCCCTTTAACCCCTTGATATAAATGAAAATGCCAATACTTTGAAACCATGGTAACTACAGTCGTATCTTCAGAAGGAGGCCTTTTCATAACAGAGTTGAGTCAGAAATAAAAAGAGCAGTGAATTCAGTGTTCTTGTTATTCGAATACATGGGTCTTTATCTGCCTTTGATGAATAAAGTTAAATCTTAGAAATGACAGAACAGAGAGATAGTCTAGTTGAAAATAGTACACCAAGTCAGGTAGAGGGTATGATTGTTTCAAAAATGTCTGTTGATGGAACAGAAAGGCCGCCGAAATCTGCAGACTCTTCAAGCTCAATTGTGTCAAATTTTAGTGCTACCAGTGATGGCGAAAGCTCGTTAAAAAAGGTTGCAACTGAAGACATCATGCAAAGAAGAATGACAGTCATGAACTCTTTTAGAATTGGTTCATCAAGTCCAGGGTCTAGGCCCAGCACTTCGGGGTACCGGAGACGGACCCCAGTTCCGCATTTGATCGAACGAATAGTACTTGAAAGAGCCAACGAATTGTATGTTTTCTTCATTATTACTTGAACCTGTGTCTATTTTTATAAGATTCGCTTGTCATACATATATACATACATACATACATGCATACAAACATACATACATTAATTATTTGGTAATGCAGGTTTACCTAAAGGCAACTAACGTTGATCTGGACCGGCAGCTACAAACAAGAATAAGCTTGATTACCTTTTTATAGATAGAAAATTAAAAAAGGGATTAAAATAGTTAAAAGTATTTACAGTGTCAAAAGTACTTAAAATCTTTGTTCTTATTATTTATAATACAGGCCCCCTTTTCAAAAGATCATATTCACATGCTGTTAAGAATAAGATTCAGTTTTTTTCAATATCTGATAATCTAGGGCTTGGGTAGTGCTATTTCCCATTATATCTTTCCCTTTGTTTATCGAGTGTAAAGGGTTATAGACAAACAATTGTAATCCCAGTGAGCATAATTTACTATTAACAACAGAACCTCTACCTTTCCTTTTGACAGACAATTCCTATGCATGCTAGTTTATGGGGGGGGGGGGGGGTAATTTGGGTGCTAGGATTTCACAATTAGGTTTCGATTAGGATTAAAAAGTATACATTGCTCCAATTTGTTTTGATAGCATTTGATAGAGATTGTTGCAAAACAAAAAATGCCAATGATCTAAGAAGAAATCATTAAAATGTCATTCAATTTTATAAAAAGTAGCATTTCTGGTATAATGAAATCATTATCTGCATTCAAAAGTGGCTAAGTTATGATCACAGCTATGATGATATTTAATCTTAAAAAGCCTGTTAGCATCTTTTGTCAAATATGAAATGTTTCCCTGATGCTACTTAATTTCTTAAACCTTACGCTTAAATTGCAGGGCAGCCCTTGACTCTGCTAAGGGCTCGGGCACACTAGCACTTGAAATATGAGAAAATCATGACAAATTTTATCCTTAGTTATTGTTTTCCAACAATAGATGTTTATCTGCTATGTAAGCTTTCTAGTGAACCCGTTTTTGCTAGATTTGTTAACTTTGCCTAGTCCATTAAAGGTTCCATCATCCTGCCTTGAAGCTCACAGCAACAGAAATGCTCCTGCTGTTTGTTCTGGTGAAAAAAGCTTTCCTTTATTTTCAAGTTTGACAAAGATGGATATTATTTTCAAGTCCCATTTAACTTGGATACAAGTGTGCCTGGGCACAAAGCTTGTCTTCTTGCATCTCAGATCACAAGCTGTTTTTAATGATTTAATAATATATTGTATTTGTCATTGATAGAAACTTTCTTTAATATTGATTTTTTTTATAACCTGTTTAATTTATTTCAAATATTTAAAAGATAGACTCTAGTTGTATAAAATGCAAATCTGTTGTGTATGTAATGATAAAAATTAACATATAATTTTATTATTTATCTAATTGCTGCATTTCAGACACAAACTGGCATCACAAGCTCTGGAAAATGAAGATTTTATTAATGCTTTGTCTTATTTAAACAAAGCAGTTGTTCTTGATCCTGAAAATTGTGACTTATATACAGAAAGAGGAGAAGCATATTTCCAGATCTCTGATTTCCAATCTGCAATTCTAAACTACAAGCAAGCATGCATTTTGCAGCCTGACTGTGAGCGGTATTTTTCCAGACTGGCATTCATGTACTATTTAAAAGGGCAAACATTTTTTGATGAAGAAAATTATGAAGATGCTTTGGAATGTTTCTCAAAAGCAATAGAGCTTCAGCCTAATTTTCTTGGATTTCACACAAGAAGGTGAACGAAATATGCATTGCATTTCTATCAAATACAGTAGTTTGAACAAATACAGTAGTTTTAGTTGCTTAATATACTCGATTGAATCAAGTTGTACATTGCTGAATATTCTTGTCAGTTGTCTCATATACACAAGCAATTTTTCTTATAAAATTTTACTGAACAAGCTTTCTCATGTAGTTTTAGTCAAGCTTGACAAAAATAAGCAATTTTTTTTTGAAAAGAATACTTGTTCAAAAACGGACATGCCAGCATCAGTGGTGGTTTTAAGGAGGGTCTAGGGGGCCGTGGCCCCGGGCCTTGCACTTAGTGTAGCCAAAAGGGGCCCCACACCTAAGAAGAAAGATAGAAATTGTAAAGAACAAGGGCCCCTCTGATGTTTTTGTGCCCAGCCAGCATGGACATGTCAAGTAAGAAATTGTCAATTGAAAGCTTGCTCGTGTAGAGAACTTGGCCCATGCATTTATTAATTTAACTCCTTGCTGGATCTGGAAGAGCTTCAGTTCCCTTCTGGGTAACCGCGATAACACCCTCATACTCAGGGTTATCTACTACTGTTATCACTTGGGATCATTTCGTTTTAAAATGGTATGATGATATTACCCAGATATGAATTAATCTAGAGTTAAGTCATAGCCTTAACTAACCCCGTCGGTACTCTTTCCATTACCAATTCGGCAAAAGTCTCTTTCTGTCAGTTAAAATTAAGTCTCTATCTAAATGTAACGATAGCAAAAATCATTTATATTTTTACTTATTCGGCCATGGTAGCTCCGTTGATCAATCAAAACTTTAGTCTGTAGTGAAAATAAACTATACATCGAATGAAAAGAATAGGCTTCAACATTGCACCAAAACTATGGATCTGTACCTGAATGTATATCTATGTACATATTATATGTAGATAGATATGCATTCAGGTACTCTTTCGTGTAAACAACACGACGGGCCCAAGTTACAGCTCAACGTTCTATGTGACCTCAGGCATTCAATGCGACGCGACGTTCAATGCGTTCTAATGATTTCAGTTTTGATGTTTTCATTTTTTGTCAATAGTATTGCATGCCTCGCTGCATTACAGAGGCACGGAGAATGCTTGGCATTGGTCAACAAGAGAATTGAAATCGAAAAAGACAACGCAGATCTCTACTTGATGAGAGCAAGAATTCACAACACATTTAGAAATGTAAGTTTTCTTTTGTCTACTATCTCCATTCGGATATCATATAATGTTGCTTGACATAGAAATAAAGATTCACTACTTTACAGCGCTGTCGAAACACTTTTTATAGTTGGAATGTTTGGTTGAGAGAATAGCAATTGAACTGCAATTTGTCACTCAATCACTATCTGACAAGAGTAGTACAGTTGACACTGTCTCTGTCTGATTCGAATTTGTATTATTTCGAACAATTTTTTAGGCCCCCTGAAAATCTTCTAACAAACCATTACAAAAACCTCTTTAATTCGAAATTCTTTTCCCCGTACAGTTTAGATTACACAGGGTTGACTGTACATTGGTCGTAAAAATTTTTTACCATCATCTTTTGTTCCGATTTTTCTGGTAGTCCTGTCTCATTAGGAGCAGACCAATACATTTAAATCTGCTCGGGCATCTTGGGAGACAGTAATTTTTTACCCAGAAATCTAGGATCATACTTTTTTCAAGCATTCTCGAAAATGATTGATGAGTTGGCAAGGACAACTTGCCCTTGCAAATGATATTTTTTACTGGTCGCATTCGATACGAATACATTCTAATTTCCTTGTGCTCAAGAATTTTAGTTCCCGGGTGGGGACTCCAATTTTCGCCTAACAGGGGGTCCAGTCAGGGTCAGAGAGGGAAAAGCTAAAATGTAAAAAATTACCCTCAAGTGGTAGTCTTTGTTGACAATAATCCTCAAATGGTAGTATAAAGACGGGAATTATGTCCTTGGTAGCATCCATTTCTCTGTGGGCGCCTGGTCCTTCTGTTGTTCATTCGGAAAAGATAAAATCTTGTTCATTGTCTAAAGTAAATCGCAATCTAAACGAAGCCGTTGTATTATTATCGAAACTGGGCCATTTGGTAGCCATTTGGTAAGACCCTTAAATCGACTGAACCCCCTGCCAGGCCTTAATGGAAGCGCCCTTCCCCCGGGTTGCAGTTCAACAGTAGCTGACATGTGGAACAGGAACATATACTTGTAACTAATATCCTTCGATCGAAATTTAAATTACGAAGTAAACATTTTTGGTAGAGTAATTGCAATAAGCGATCGAAGTTTTGAGATAAAAGGACCAAAATTTAATATGATTCGAGAGAATTCCATGCCATAGGATTTCAATGTCACAAAAACGTCGTAGGATTAAAAAATGCTGTCTGTTTCTGTCAGCTTAACATAAGCTAAATCCTTATTTAACATTTCTTTATTTCATGCTTTGTTTTTCAGGATTCTTTGTACTATTTTGATGTAGTGGACGCTCTCAGGTTGGACCCAGGCCATAAAGAAGCCAAAGAGATGCTTGATGGTATCGAGGCAAGATCAAAAGGGTACAAATCACAGGTTAGAGTTGCTGTGATTTGTTACTGATCAACAATAAAATTATCTTACAAATTGTTATCCCCGTCAATTCTATTTTTCACGAATTATATTGTTGGACTCTGGTACAGTTAAAAAAAACCATTTTACATTGTCACAACTGTCTATTGGCAAGCAATTCTCAAAACACTGTAAATTTTGCCATTCGCCGTTTGATTTGCTGAAACTTTTGATTGACATTTTGTTGCCATCCAGGTTTCCACCTAACTCTTGCTAGTCCAAGAATGACTTCACGTTGGCTGTTAAATGTCGAAGAACCTGTAATTTTGAATCAAGGATGTATTTTTCGATGTGGCAAAGAAACTATTTCATTAACGATATTTCTTCCAAACTATTCAATAGCGAGCTAATTTAGTAAGTAGAACCAGGCCCCGTATTTTGCAGCGATTTCAGATTGGAAAAATGTATCTTGTAAACCCAAGTTAATTTTTTACCTAAGAAGCACTTTAAGTAAAAAATTCAAATGAATTAATATTTGCCTTGTTGTGTTGTCAAGAAATGCTCATAATAAAAGGAGCTTTATTTTGTGTAGGCGATGCGTCTCGATTTGATGGGAAAAACTGATGATTCGATCGTCAAAATTTCCTCTGCGATCGATGTGGATCCATCATTTGCTCAGTATCACGTCTACAGGCAAGTAATTCCCCTAGTGCTACAACGCAGAGCACTCCGCAGTATGAAAGCTTAATAGTTCTCAGTGATCAGATGCATTCATTCCATTTTTCATGTCCAAAGAAACAATTTTTTCTTGGGGATATGAGCTTGAACTCTATTGCCGGTAAGACCGACCCTATGAAGTTGTGTTTCACACGAGCTTGCGTATAGATATTCCTTATTACGAAGAATCTTTGCTGACCGCAAAAAATTTTATTTGTCGTGGTCAGGAATATTTGTCAAAAAATGCAATAATACTAATCTAATGCTGAAAAGAGGCACGTCGTTTTACGAAGGTTTGAAAATTTTTGAAAAATATTTCTGCATCATATCACAAATTTATTTTCAAATGGACGGCAACACAATAGATAGGCGTAGATAGCAGATTATATATTTTTTACGTTAGGACGATCCCATTCGAGTTTAGATTGGTTTATCAACTTTGAGTCCAATCTTCTTCCCTTCATTCATCTTAGAAATGCTGATTTATCTTCATTTCATCCTCGTCTTTTCATTGTTCGGTAAACTATAACATCATATGTTTTTCGGCTTTGGCCATAATTTCACCGATTCATAAATTTTTAATTTGCCGCTGATCAAACTCTGTTACTTTGCATGCTCATATGTGAAATCCTATAGGTGATTCTTGTAGATATCAACCTACATTCTACAATTTATACTGACAAATGCTGACTTTAATATAGCGAGCGAATAACTTGAGTACCGAATGGAATGAATTAGTTTAAAATATCTAAGCTTAAGCCCTGGCAAAACGACTAAACATTTCACTCAACTTTTGTTTAGCCGTTTAGGATGATTTTTTTCAGAATTGCATTTTAAAGGCTATCCAGGACAAGCTCCCTTACAACTTTCATCTATGAAAAGAGGGAACAGCTCGTAAAGCCTTGGATAACAAATGGAATTTTAAAATCTATTTCCATTAAAAACAAACTTTTTAAAATGTTCTTAAAGTCAAAAGACCAATTTTGGTACCAGCGTTATGAATATTACAGAGATTCTCTAAACAAACTAATTAAAGGCAGCAAACGTTTGACTACAGTTCATATTTCGAAACCTTCAAAAACAATTCTAAAGCCCTTGCAAAACGACTCAACTTTTATTAAGTAAAAAGTTTAGTGAAAAGTTTTGTCGTTTGCCACCCTGTTTAGTGTTGTTTAGTCGTGTTGAGTGTTGTTGAGCAAAGTTTGATCATGGTCAAAAATGTTTAGCGTTGTTTAGTGCTGTTTAGCAAATGTTTAGTCGTTTTGCCACCAATTAAACATTTGTTGTGATCGCGCAGACGCTCTAGCTGTGGAGATCCAAAGGTTATCGTCGGTTTTTGTTGGTTTTCCTGTCTCTACGTGACCCAATAAGCCTTTATTAGACATCTGAATATCTCGTTGTACGCCACTGTATCTTCTTCAACAGTCAACTTTGTTGTCAATGTGCTAAAAAGTCTTTTCTTTCCCCGTCGCTTCATCCAATTCTTTTTTTTATCCACTGCTTGTATATTTAACAAAATAAACCAAAAACAAATTTCTATGCAAGATCCCCTACAACCCAACAGCGTCATAGACAGCTCGCAGTTCAAAAAAGGTTGAGTGAAGTTTAGGGAAATGTTTAGTGACGTTTTGCCACCCTCGTTAAACTTCGCTCAACTTCACTAAACAAAAATTGAGTGAATTGTTTAGTGAAATGTTTAGTCGTTTTGCCAGGGCTTTATTCATTTCAATCGGGTACTCATTTTAGCTCACTATTTTATCGTCTTTGGAATCAAGTACCAGACGCAACGTACATTTTTAATTTAAGTACTCACCTTTTCTCAAAAGCTCAAAAGTAATTGTTGTGCATTTGCTTATAATATCATTACCCTGTCTCTGCCTATAGATGATTCAGATAACGATAAGAGGTCAGAAATGTGTATATGTAGGGCCGTGACCTTTAATCTAAGTTAATTTGGTACCCCTGTGTTTGAACAGACTTATGTAATGTGAATTCCAGTATTCAGTTTGATATATTATTCTTTTACAACGTTCTAGCCGAATCGAAGTCGAAGTCATGTAGTAACTTTTGAGTGAGATTTATCGTTATGTTCGGTTAAGTTTGTCTTGCCTCTGTTGAACCTGCGTTTATAAATAAAATCCATTCATCGCAACTAAACAAGAGGTACATATAAAGAAGTGAACTTTAATTATTTGATACAATTAAAAATGCAAAAACTGATGAAATCGTTGTTAGACAAAAATGATAGCAGATAGGAAAGTCCCTAGTCTTCATTTTCTTCTTAAATTCTCTTTTTGACACAAGATTAGGCATATTCTGTTCATTTCGATGTATTGAGCTATTTTGCGTTTTTTTGCTAAGCGCAGTTTGAGTAGTCGTATATATTTCAATCAAGAATCTACAAAGCTTCAGATGTTTGCGCCACGTTACCTCTATAGAGATGGAAAATGTTTTCTTGTTTCGCCTTGCCTTAGCAAATGAAATCGCAATTAAGAAAAATACAATTTTGAACTACATTAATAGTCGATGAGAAAGGATACTGCATGCACCTCCCATTTGTGCTTTTTCCTTCATTGTCTTATAAATATTTGATAAAATGCATTATTTCATTAGCATCCGTAACTATAACCTCACAGTTCATGACATAGACTGATCAATTCTTAGTCCAAGTAAAACTTTAAGCTTGCAATCCACTCAGTAATGCCCAACTAATGACGCGCCCAGTCCATGCAAGGCAGCTGATCATTTTCAATTCTTAATTGTGTTGATGTAGGCTTTTCCAAACATTGATCTCCAATTGTATCATCACCATTTTCTTCATCATCCTCTACTTCGATTGGCTCCTCTACTTCACGTACCATTGCAAGGATTGAATTGTTTCTTTCATCGACTCACTCATCCATCAGAAGCATAAAAGTCTTCGAGTTCTAATGATTTTGCAAACTCTAGAGCTTTTTCTTTAGATATACTGCAGCTGATAGGAATATTGCTGTATCTTGCTGTTTTCAGCCATTTTTAAACGGCAGAGTCCAATTCTTTGTATATCGCAGTCCTCATTCTTTCTCTTTTTTTAGAAGCATTGTTTCCTTCATCTGCTTCAAATATTTCAGCTTTCTTTTTTACCCAGTGTGAAACTGTGTTTTTAGCAACGCCATATTTCTTTGCTGTAGCTATACAGCTTCCCATACAGCAATATACAGCCTGTATCAATTTCTTTTAATGCCTTGTCTTGCTGACTATAGTTAAACAGGCAAGCCCTCGTTCCGAAGACTGCACAGCTGCCATTTTTTAAATATGACTGCTGATATAAATTTTTTTGTTTTCACTACTTGATGGCAATCGAATGTTCGCAAGAATATTCAAATAAAGAATGTATTGATTCAAATGATTCGAATGTATTTGAGATGATTTTTTTTCATGGCAAAATAGCAAACGACAATGGTTTTGTTTCTATTGCTGGTGTCAAGTAGCAGTGATTCCCATTATGAATTCGAAGTGAATTCTTTCATTCAAGGGCACCGCGTTTGTCATTCTATGTGGCAGCCCCAGATTGGAAAGGAGTTGAAGGTCGTGATGGAACCAAATAACATAGCCGACTAATACCCAGTATGTGTACAGGAAAATGAAACTATTGGTGTTATCATTCACCAAAAGGAAAGACAGACAGATTTGGAAAGACAATCTTCTTCTTTGTCAGGGCAGATGAATTTAATTCATGTGTGGCTGTGGTGAATGGCAATCGTGTAAACATTTGAGATGGCAAAGGAGTGCAAGTCCCTTGCAACCTAATTTCATTTCAATTTTAAAAGAATGAATTATCATTGATATGATAATTAATAGTTGAAAATTGTTGTCACTTTTTGTTCGAGATAACCGGGTTTTCTGGAGAGCTAGACTCTCAAAACACAACTCTCTGAAGGACAGCAATGTTTGAGCTTTTCAGAGTTGTAGTTTTGAATTCTTACAGTTTTTTTTATTGTACCTACATGTTTTACTTAGTAAATTTTTGGTTAGTTGTTTTTTTTAGCTGTTTAGCTTTTTAATAATTTAGTTGGCTATTTGGCTAGTTAGTTGGTTTGTTGGTTAAAAAATTTGAAATTGGAACTAAAGTCGTCCAATTGTGCTAGCACAGCTGACTTCGTCGAATATAGACCTTTTCTGCACATTGTTTTTGCTTTTGCTGATGTACTTAGGTTCGAAAATTTGTTGCCTTACTTTTTTCTTTTGAAAACAAATGGAGACAGACTGATTAGATTGTGAATTAAATTCAAGAGTGAATTACTGAAGCCCTGTTTTCCGGGGCGAAATATTAATACTTATTAAATTCAATTCATTTTAAAATTCTATTTCATTAAATTGGATTCTTTTTTTATCCCATATAAAAGTTTACAATGACGAATAACTAACTAACGAAATTACTATACAAAACTGCGAAGACAGTACCAAGAGAAGCAAATATCTTGACTACCCCCTGGCTTTTAACATGGATCTAAAACATAACTACAAAATGATACTTTTTTGATACATAAATGATGTTACAAAATAAAATAAAAAAGAATTATAATTTACGAGAAATTACGAGAAAGAAGAATTACAAGTTTTTGTTTCTTAATAAAAACGTTGAATTCTCGTCGTCATATTGCTCTTTTCCTGACTATTTTTCGTTTTTAAGAGTGAATTTCAGCACTAAATCACTAAACTGTAGATTAATTGCTTGGCTAATCAAATAATTACCCTGATTGTTATATTCGTGAACTTTTAGAACTTGATGCATCAACTTATCTTTGATTGTTGGCAATGACCTTCGAAGCAGCTCTTCTGAATGTAATACCTTTCGTGTTTGAAGAGTTTGTATATAGTTTTCATGTAAACGGGTTAAAATTACATTTAATTGTCTGTTGCTACCATTATGTTATCTTCACTTCAGATTTATAACTTCTTCAGGTCAGCTCTACTTCGGCGAAATCACGAGTTTGTTGCTGCTGTAGATGATCTGCTAATGGCGATGGACAAAACGAAACATGACGAAGGCCACCCTGTCTACAGAGAGGCACAAAATCAACTTTTGCTGACATACAATGACTTTGCAGTTGATTGCTTCACGTAAGTGGTCTGGTTATAATTTAAAAAAGAGAATAATGGATTGTGTGGCATTTGATTCCATTTTGCTTGATTTCTTTCTCGTTCTTAATTTTTTCGTTCCTTATTCTTATTCAATTCGGATATTTTTTTATTCATTCTCTCTCACGTTTGCATTAGTAATGATTATTGATAAGGAGTTATAATTATTGTAAATTCGTGATCGAGTACTTTCGCAGTAAGACCTGTCATTTTTTTTTCAGCAAAGGCTTTTACGAGGAGGCAATAGTCTTGCTCAACAAAGCGATCAAGTGTGAAAAGTCAGAAAAGCGACTTTACATGAACCGTGGTGGTGAGTGACATTCAAAATAGAATGCCTAAAATACATTCTTGTACTTTTTCCCTTGGTTACTTTCGTGAAAAATGCAGCAATCAAAGTTTATGAAGAAACTGAAACCAAAATCTTGCTATTTGATCGTTTACTGCTAAAACAAAAGGAAACTCTCGCTTATATTTCACAAAGAAATCTTCAAAGACAAAGCAGGTAGGAGAGTGTAATTTGGTTTATTTTTGTCCAGGGATATACCAGAAAGGGGCAAGACCCCTAGTAGTTACAGAAACTATCTTACAATAGATCAGGCCCTTTTAGCTTCCATTCACTCTTATCCTTGTGAAAACAGGGGATTTCGCCAGACACCAGGCCCAACTCCTACTGTTTTAAGTTTCAAAGCGCTTCAAAAGTTCTCATAGTAAAAGCAGCATAGAACCTTTGCGCTCGTGCGTATTATCATCAAAACTAAACAGTCGAACGAGATTTAGAAACGAAATGCAACGCCAAGTTTTTTTAACATGCCATGGGCTAAAACCAAGAAAAATGTACTGAAGGGAACTTGCAGGTGGTGGAATAATGTGACGAGGCCAAGATTTCTAAAAAATTGATTCTCTGTTGGCTCTGCTCGTAGTGAACAAAAGGCGAATTAATTTTTTGCTTTGCCTTAACCAATAGCTGACTGTTGACTTCCAAAAGTAGATGACATGAAGAGCGTCTTTTCTCTTTGGTCTTCCTAGCTCACTTCTAGTGCCGAAATAGGAGGGATGTAGGTAAGATTTAAAATTGCCGTGAACTTTGCGTTACATTGGACATCACAAAAGCGCTTCTAAATAGACACGGCTACTAGAAAATTGTTGAATGGCTCTTTTTTAGGTGCTTTTAAATTTTTCTTTAACAAAATCGAAACTTCATATTTAGGCAAGCAAGATAAAATGAAGACACTATTTTTGCCAAGACTTGAATTTTTAGGGTATACAACTGCTCAATCTGGATTTTTACCTGCCTTGGAGTGTGCTAGGATCCTTGTTTGTAAAGGAGCAGGCCATTTAACTAGGCATTTCGAAAATTATGCTACTGTTCCGCAAAAATGCCCACTCTATCCATTGATGATATCCATGACGAAAGTAATCCTTGGCAACCGCACTATATCCTTTTAGGCAATTAAGCATAATCCTAGGTTATCCAGGCCTCTCTAAAATCACACAGCACAAACCCATGTTCTGAATTTAAATTTCGCCAATAACAGATGTTCCCAGAAAAGATGATTCAGATATGGAGTCCGTTTTATTTGCAGCATGCCAAAGATTAATTCTGAATAAAGCTCGTTTTGTATATGTGAATCACCAATAGAAGGCCTGCCAACAAACTTGGGGAACATCAACAGCATTTTTGCCATTTATGTTAGCTGTTTCCCCTTTCAAACAATGTTGAATTGCTCTCCATAGAAAGACTGTCAATCCCCGTAGAACAGAGGTATCGAGCATAGAAATACCAAAACCTTATAAATAATGCTATCCCTGCTGTATAGGAAATGTGATAAAGTAGAACATGTGTTTGTTTCATATATTGTTCTAACATTTTGTAAAGGAACGAGTACTTTTTTCTAATTAAAGCCAGATTGAATTCATTTATTGTTTAATAGAGCGGCATTTAAAGAGAATGTGTTTAGCTGTGCGTAGATCAGTGGGATGCCAATATAGTGGAAAGAATAAAATAATAGCAGGAATATTATTGTTTGAGAACAGTAAGAATGGGAGGGATTGTTCATTGGAAAAAAGCATTTTTCATGTGATTTTTTACAAAAATTTGTTTTTTTTCATTTTAAATCTATTTTTACACCAAACCCTTTTTGCTTACAATACTAAATAAGAAAATAAATATCATTATTGCAGCAATAAATATTCACTGTTAATGCTATAATTTTATACATAAATCTATCTACATATTGGCTTTACTGCAAGGGTGTTTTTAAGCTTATTTCATCATGTAAGGTCACTTTGTGAATCCGCCAAGACCAGAATGAATTAGCCAGAATATTAATGTACCGGGGCGAATGAGCCAGAATCTCATTACAAGCTTTGAGTGCCGAATAGCAAGCGACGAAATCTGTGTAGGATATTGGCGCTTTTAGATTCAATTAGCTAAAGAATTTTGTTATCAGCGACCAAACGTTTTTTTAGACGATTGATTAACATGGATGAGGAAGAAATAAAACACGAGAAGGCAGTTTGCAACTACCGTATTCTCTCGTCGTCTGCGATAACAAAGTAAATGTGAACCAATTCGTTTCTAAATATGATTGTGTGAACGGCAATAACGTCAGAATTCGTTTAATGTTCTTCTATCCATCTAGTTGAAAATATATTCCATAATAACTTTATTATTGTCAAGTAATAACTTTTAACTTTTGGCGATGGTCCTCTAGTTATCGTTCCTACTTCAAATGACACATTTTTCCTGCTATAGTTTTACTTAGCTTTCTCTTTTATTAGATTGCTTTTATAAAACAAAGGAACTACACTTTGCTTTGTCCGACTATTTGGAAGCCCTGGAGATTGACCCAACCAATTCGACTATTAAATCCCGGTTAGCTGCTGTCTATAACGACTTGGGGATACTCGAATACCATGAAAGGCGTTATCAGCAAGCAGAGGAATTCTTTTCCGTCGCAATCAGCTATAACCCGAGTATATCTTCATACTACGTGTCCAGAGCGAGGACGAGATACATGCTCGAGGTTCGTAGCGCTCTCAGTGGTAATCTGTAAATCAGAATCTTCTGCCTATGCTTATAGTCGGTTTGATGTTAGTAGAAATTGATGCAAGTGTCTTAACGCACCGAAGTGTTTAATTATGAGTTACTCTAGCGAGTCGAGTGTCAAACTATGATATATTTCTGTAGCGTGCAGATATATGAACGGCCAGCTGTATTAAAAGAATGTAGGTCAAGGTATATCAGATTCTTTCTATCAATCATTCAATTCAGGAATTGTTATTTAAACCTATTAGATATTTAAAAAAATTAATGTCAACAGTTTTTATAACTCGCTAATTATCCTTCATTTGGACCTGAGAAGTTGTTACGCTAAAGGCCAGACGTGAGCTGTAGGTCACATGTCAGCAAGCTGTAGGTCACAATAAACTATAGGTCACATGTAAGCTGTAGGTCACATGTAAGCTGTAGGTCACACGTAAGCTGTAAGTCACATGTAAGCTGTAGGTCACATGTCAGCAAGCTGTAGGTCACATTAAACTATAGGTCATATGTAAGCTGTAGGTCACATGTAAGCGGTAGGTAACATGAAAGCGGTAGGACACATGTAAGGTGTAGGTCACATGTACGCTGTAGGTCGCATATAACTTGTAGGTCACACATGTAAGCCGCTGATGCTATTTCATGCGCATTTGCTGTTCGCGCCATAGCTGACTCTATCTATTTTAAATGCATTTTTAGTGCGGTGTAACTCCTATGAATAGCTCAATACAATTTCATACGTATGTCAGCCGTTACTAACATTCTGCAGTGAATTGTAACTGCTGCCAAACAAGTGGTACGTTCCTTCTCGTATTTTCATAAACTTAAAAATTATCGACCTAGAATAATCACTCTTCAGGTAGGTAGTTTAACCGTATCGTCGAGGTGGCGTCAATAAAGATCTAGATATTGATTTTGTTGCATGTTTTAATATGATATTATGGCAATTCCTAACATCAATCTTTCATTTTTGCATATTTATCCCTTCAGTGCATGCATTTTATCACAGCATCACAGAATGTTGAAGCCGTATATTTTTCCATTGCCTTTATACCAGTCAGCTATAGGTTTTAATTTGCTTTTTCAGACGCATGAGAATGCACAAATTGATGTCCTATCGGCCTTGCATATCGACATTAACAACAAGGAAGTAATTTCACTGTTCACCAGGTTGTTTCCTGGAAACACTACCACAGAGGCTTTGAATACAAGGCTTGGAGAGATGGTTGGAATCGCACTAACATCAGTAATATCTGATATAATTGAGGACAGTTCAGGTGATTCTTTTAATTAAGTTTCATAATAAAGTATTCTCTATTGTTAAATCTTGACCAATCAGGTGAGTGGTTGGAAACAGCTTCTCCGCTATGTTTTGAAAGTTCAAAGTTTTTTTTCGATCATCATAATTTTAATCACATTTTTTTGAATATGGTTATTTGTTAGAATTTATATGCAAGTTTACATTCTTCAACCTTTCTACATCTATCAGGATTAAGATGCATTACTAAACTGGACCCAAAGCTTGACCAAATCAAGAATAATTTTTTTGGGTAATGGCTACCTTGAAAATGTTATTTCAACCTATTTTAAGCAAATAGTCACTAGCTTTTCCGCAGAAAAAAAGTTTGTCCTGAAAAGTGTCCTCTATATCTCAATATTATCCGGATTGGCAACCTTTCAACTTTGTTTTAAAGTCAAATTAAAACGGCCATAAGCAATTGTTTTTCCACTGTGAAGCCTCGTTAGTCTATAGTACTAAGGTCAAGGGTTTTGAAAAAAAACAGTCACAACGTTTCTGTAAAAAACAGAATGCTCAAATAAACTGCAATTCGGCTGTTGATCAACATTAGCTTTAGAATCCAGAGTGCGCCAAAACATATAGTGACGAAAACGTTAAGATCATTAGGTAAGCAAGGTCGCTTTTTCATTCAGGTATTTTGAAATCTGTCTACATTGAACCTCTCCTCTCCCGACTTGTGTAGGCAATAAGATCTCGTTTTCTCTCATGAACTCTTTAACTAGGTAAAATATTAGTGGCTGCAACTGGTCAAAAAGAAATAAACAAATCAAACCCGCTATCCTTCCAATCGGCCTTGGGGAACCGAGCTATTGAGGCTCAGCCCAAGGGGTGCAGCAGTTTTGGTGGAGTTCGTGTCAGACATTTGCATATGCATAGATCAGTATCATTGTAGAGATTTTTGTAGAGATGAAAATAGTTTGAAGGAAGAACAAATTTATTGTAAGGAGAGATCCGTTAAATTCAATTTTTGTAGCCTGCGCGCAGACTCTGACAGCGAGAGCAACTCTGTTGGTTAGCTTGACTGTGCTTGTAAATAGCTAGTGGTGTGTTAAAGTCCGCTGTTTTAAATAGATTATCCTTCTTTGATCGAAAGCTCCCGATTTCCTTTTTATCACACTTGAACTCACTTTGACCCTGTCTTTTCAAAGTATATTCCTCGGGAAAACAACATGTACAAAACATTATGAGTTTGGAGACGAGCACTCTTCGTTTGTAGGTAACCTATCATTTGATTTAAAACGGGCTCAACCTGGCTCTTTTAAGCCAAGCCATTTATTCCAGGTCTTACTATCATAACGTCGCATAACAAGGGCAGATACATTTTTTATGATTTGATCTTGCATAGTTTTTAGTTTTATTAGCTTTCGTCTTCAGAAGTTACAAGTTTGTTTGTTTTCGGATAATGCAGTTTTAAGATAAACATGTGCAATCAAAACAACACGTAAAATTCTGTTTTAGATCGCTCGTTTTACTTAGTCTTTTTCCAGAGTACATAATCAGACTTGTTTTCGCTTGTGAGGTATCACATGCAATTGATCAATTAAACTTTCTGGTATTTGTTAGACATTTTGTAACACTTTTATTTTGCTCAGGAAGCTATATTCCGTTGTGTCTTGGTTTTTACTCCAGAATCGACTATTGTCTAATAGAATTGAATCTGAAACAATGCATTTATTAAAGACTTACTGTACAGTAGGTGTATGCGCTGTTTATGAAAAGTCTGCGTTCTTAAGGAAGCCCTTTCTTTTAATACTTTCCATTTAGCAGTGTGATGAAAAATGTTATCTTTTTCATACAGTTGAGTTCAATCAAAGTCCATCCCGAACTTTTTCACCAAAAAGTGTTTTGCCTGGCATAAGAAAACTTTCAGTCAATGATTCTAATGAATTGATAAAATCCTGCATGAGCGAAAATGAAATAACTTCAAATGTTATTAAAGGGAAGAAAAAGGTATGATAAGAAATTTTCGATACAGCTGCTTTTTACTTTTAATGAAATTTTTATTTTTATGTTTGTGTAGCATCTTTCGCGACTTGTTATTTCTTACTAGAATTTTTGGTACACTGCAATAAGTTTCCACACATTTTTCATAGCGCCACATTTCCCCTTCAAAGTATGTTGCTATATTTAGTACTAAAAAGTTCGGTCTGCGGGGAGCGCGGGGGCCGAGGGAAATGGACCGGGGGGGATTTTTTAAAAACAGCACACGAACGAAAGGTCGTTTCATGGACCTTTTGAAGGGATTGTGTTTATCGTGGCTGTTAGACTTGTCGAAATCATGAAAACCTGGCTATTAGATGTTAGTCTTAGTCGAAAAAAATGTGAATTACGTACTTTCAAGCCAAAAATGAATTAATTCAGTAAAAGTGAACTTTTTTCAGTCAAGTGTTGGCAGACCTATTTTTGAATAACAGTTTCTTGTGCAGAATTCCTTGTTGATTTTTCAGTTTATTTTTTAAATTTGTCAAATAAATCTCCCCCCCCCCTCTTCTAAACCACACTCGCAAAGGCACCTCTAAAAAGGTTCAGAAATTATTTATTCGAGGAAATATGATACCTGTCTCAGCGAAAACCTTTGTCGGGTCTCCGCCAATTCCTATGATAGATCTGTCGTGGAAATATCTCCATAAAGAAAAAATAGACTACGGCATTACTTTGTCCCACTAACAGCGTAAATCACTGTATTTTGATCCTTGCCTGTTGCAATCAAGACGCTCTAATGGATTGACTCATTTTTGACGTTTCTTCTAACCTACAGCTCGATCAAAATTTCACAATATTTTGAATTTGAAGCATTGAAATTTTACAGGAAGGCAGATGCTACCATTTCACTTACTTGAGCAAATATAGCAGCTCCAATGGACGCCAGCTGGTGCGAGTTCTTTTGCGCGAGGAAACGATTATTCTTCTTAAGATATACATTTAAATGGTGATCATAATTTGGCTTTGAGTTTTTAAATTAATTCAAACTTTTTTACCTGTAGGTCAATGATTTGGTTGAGAGTGTGATACATTCAAGACAGAGTTTAGCCTTCACCGGACCACGTGTCAAAGGGCAGGGGCTTCTTGCCATAGAACTACCGACATGGGCTGACAAAACTAAGCTAACGAACCCTACTGTTAGGAAAGACCCCTCTTTGTCTCCAGATATTACGAAGAAACAAAAGCATTCGAAAGCTAAAGCGATCACTTTCTTAAAAGCGTAATATCATTTTGTATTATTCTGTATAGTTGGGATAAGATATCTTTGAAATATTGTCAAGTTATAATTATTCTATGACTACTTCGTTCAACTGATGATTGTTTCTTGATGTATCCAAGCATAAAATTGCTGGGAGACGTCTCAGCTAACATTGTCCGGGACTGTAGATGCAGATCGAAAGTCACGCGAGCAGAAGAACAACCTGTTTGATTGGCTCCTTGCTTTCTTATTGATTTTTTAAGAAATTCGGGTCAGATTGCCCGCTAATTCACCATCGACTGTGTTGGGTAAAAAGGGAAATGAATTTAACCCCGAATTTAGTTGAATAAACAACGAAAGAAGCATTCTTCAAGCGAGCATGTAAAAAATAAGAAGGTTTGAGCAGTCTTTCATTGTTTGAAAGCTTCGTTTACGCCTTGCAACATCCAAGGTTCATTAACACCTTATGCTGTCAGGCAGCTGTTATGTTCTATATAAGCTCTGTTTGACTATAGACAAATCTACAAAAAAACCTTTTTCTATATCATAATGTATTCTTTATTTGTTCTGTGCAATTTCTGATCATTTAGACCAGGGTCTTCTTCGATATTTATTTTTTACTGCAATTTTCTTTGTGATTCTACCTTGTTTTTTCACCAAACATTTTCAGAGAGTTTGCTTTTTATCTCTAAAACCTGCTGAAATAGTGTCTTCTTCTTATCCATTAGCTAGAAAAATGTATTTCATTTTTTCCAGCTCAGAATCAAGTTTACCTTAGTGGAATAAGTCTTTGCCCTGTAGGCCAAGGTGCAGATCAGCATAGTTTCCTTTGCTGAAGACTGCAGGATGCCAACGAATAAGATAACCAGTAAGGCCCTGCTCACACTGTGCCGGATGAATTTTATCCGCATAAAGTTTATTCTATGCCGAACAAATTTGCCGAACACTATGCCGAACAAATTTTGTTCACATTGCCCTCCCGTTTGCACAGTGCCGGATAACTACAGTCACGTGACCTGAATCATGCACCTAACGCGCAAGACAAAGTGCCGCCAAAATGCCGACTGTGCAAAGACTTTTTATTCACCTTTCCGAATCAACTGTTTCTCGTTCAGACGAAGTCCGAGAAAATTGTTAAAGCACATGAGACCTAGATAGTTTTAATAATTCTTTGTTTGAAGCAAAAAGTCGCAGAAATGGCAAACAAAGCTGGGAAAGCTGACAAGGACACCAATTTCACGTGGACTAACGAAAAGACTGCACTTTTAATTCAAGTGGTTATCGACTTCATGACAGCAAAGGTGGCTATTTCTTTATCTACAGAAGCTTCAAGTTTGTTTAAAAGTGTGTTTTGCTTCTTTTTTCTGAATCAGGATCTGCATGTAATTGAGCGATTTGAAATAGTGCATGTAATTTCGAGCATAAGTGCAGGGTAAAGAGAGATCAGAAAGGGAATTTCGTTCGAAAAAATAAACGTTTTAAAGAAGACAGCAATGTAGTGAGAAAATTAGGTAAAAAGACGATGGGCCTTCTCCACTGAGAGAAATAGATGCACATTGGGGTAAAATTTGGAAACTTTTGAAGCATCACGATAAATCGACAGCAAAGTTTCAAGTGAACTTGGTGCTAGGTCGGTAAGGTCCCAGTATAACGAACTAAATGTCCGGTCCTTAGATTCTGCCTAACAAACTCCTTACAAATTCTCTCGGTAAAACGAGCCCTGGATATAACGATCTCTCGTTATTACGAACCAAATATTGGGTCCCTTCGTCATAATTACCCTCGATATAACGAACTTTTCATAAACTCTTCATCCGCTTTTTATACTTCATTACTTGGGAAACCATTATTGTCATCAGAAAAACATGCCGATGATAAAATTCAAGCACTGGCTGATAGACTCAGAGCACGAGATGAACGTTTGATTGCCTCAGAAATTAATGCGAATGAGTATATTTACACTAACGAATGTCTTCTTACATATGAGACATTGGCAATGAGCGATGACAAAACTTTATTGAGAGACTCAGACCCAGATAGAAGACATCATTCAGGCACCAACAAAGAGCAAAGTGATACCAACTTTGCCAATCTCTTGGTCCCAAATTATAAGAGGAACATTAAGATTGTCATTTTCAATGACAAGCCAGTTGTATTAATTGAATTCAGCTTGGTTTTTTGGAGATAAATGTACACAGAGGTTGGAGATATCTCTCGGTATAACGAACTCGGGATATCACGAACTATTTTCTGGTTCCCTTTAGAGTTCGTTATATCAGGACTTCACTGTAATTATCATGCTTGGTATGGTTTCAAAACAGAACATGTCATATTTATCGCTAAAAGAATTCGCTCCCGTCGAACTTTTGTTTCTTTTTTGTCGTTAATTGTCTTAATGATTAAAACATCATAGGTTTCAGCGCATCACATTTTCGGCTCCTATGCTGCGCGCTATTGAAGACTCACTATGGGCGTAAAGCCAAGTTGTTATATATAGCTCAACTGTTTGAACGTTCTGAAGTAACAGCTCACACGAAGTCATTATTTTTTCACAGAAATTATCTAGGTCATAAAGATTGTCCACAAAATGCATTAAAATGCTGTGAACCACCCTTGGATGTAAATTTTGCCTTTGCCCATATGACTTTCTCATTGGTTCAGACAAATGGATTGAATAATTGATATAAACAATAGGAGCTTAGACAAGTCTCTCTAACAATATACAGACTAGCAACATAATATATATGGTCAAACTATAATCGCTATAATATGGGATACAAAACATATCGTCATTAAAATGTGTTTATTTTTATTATCCAGGCTAAATTAATGTTTTGGCTTCATTTTATGTAATTCTTGAATTGGGTAGATGAACCAGGATTTGGCTAATTAAAATTTGGCATCATATGCACATGCGCAGTTAAAGCCGATGTCATTACGTCACTGATCTTTTTGTTCACAACATGATCAATTGAAGTAAACATCTCATTTTCACTTAATTTGTCATGTTTTAAGACAGAAGCCCATCAGCTACATGCAAAGAAAATATTATAGATAAATCGATAGATAAACATGTTGAAATGTTAAAAAATTGCTGGTCTTTTTAAGTCTCGTTCTCCGGGAAGTATGCTTATTATGCAGGAATTTCATCAGTTTCCATTCAAAAATAGTAATTGTGGAACAAATTTCAACGGATGAGAAATTTTGAGAAATTCAGCTTTTGCCTTGGGGTGTCTTTGACACCAGACAGACGAAAAGAAGTATCAGAATTTGATGGCTCACGCACTTTGCTTTTCTCCTGTTTGCATAGGAATGAGTCAGTAAGGAGTACAATCACATTCACTTCATAATTCCAATACATCCACCACCGTGGGTTCCCGTTAAGTCTCAATTTACTTGTCACAATCACCAATACGAATACTACACTAAATTTACTATGTTATCTATACATTGTTTACAACTATCTCTCCATTAACTATACAGCAAATACCCAACCCCCCAATTCGCCAATTAAAATGGCAAATGAACAAAAAAGAGCAACAATGTCGCTATTTTATTCCTCACCAATAAAGAAACAAATAACTGCTTACTCAAATTTGCCCTTATTTATATATGTTTTTATTATATACACAATAGTACCCTATTCCCACCTTTATTTTATATACAGGTAGTATGCAAATTAAAAGAACAGTTGAAAACTTAAAATTTTCTTAACGAATTTTCATTGTTCGTTCACGTGAAAGTTAAAGCACAGGTCGACCTCCACTTGGTCGTGCGTACAAATGATTTGAGATACCAAAACACGGTGTATACGTTCATTCGGCGATAGCATGACCGCTAGTTTCATGAAAAGATCTTCGAAAACCCAGGCAAAGCAGTATATCGGCGACTAAAACTGTTGTTACTTGTTTTCTAGAGAAAAGGCCTCTTCGATTTCGAAGATGTAGAACATCATTTATGTTAAAAAATACCCAGAAAGGGACAGTTTTAAGTCGGAGAAATTGACCATTTTACAACATACCTCCTACCTGCATGCGTGCAATACCTTTTAAAGTAAGGCCTAATCTGCAGGGCTGAAAATCTCTTTTTTACTCATGTCAAAGAAAGTCCCTGTGTCAGTGTCACTCGGTGCCCTGTGGCTACTTTACGCATGGCAAGTACATTTTTCCTATTTGTTATTCCAAACAATAGTCCAATCAAATTTTGTTCGGCAGCCTTTTTGCATAAATGTGCCAATTTGATCGCGGGCAAGTGGAGGTCGGCCTTAACAAACCCCTAAAGGTTTCCACAACGCTAAATGGCGTTTTGTCTATAGTCAGGTGTGGGAGTCCTAGATTATACTATCCCACTGGACAAAAATTCACATCGAATGAGCTTCAAATTTTGTCAAGACATTTGGTAATAATGGCTGACTGATTTTCATATACTAAAACTTGTAAATTTGTGTGACAATTTCATTGTCTTGTCCTAAAACTAGCGTAGGCAAGTGATGTTTAGCCAAAATCCTTATTGCAAAAAGCCTTCGAAGATTTCGCCTTTTGTAATGCATACATAAATTTGATGTTCAATTGATTTTACGTATAATGGATCGTTTTTGTTCTAGTTAGCTGAAACAAGCAAATCATAATTAATGTTTAAAAATTAGAGGAACAAATCAATACGATGAAAATGACGAATAACATGAAACAGAATTGTGGAGACTTCGTTCGCAGCTTTTTATAATTTGCCACTGAATAAAAAAAGCTTGTTTCTCCACCAGTTGCCTTTAAGCAATGTTAGCATCGTTCATTATACATTTAACACAAGAAAAAGAATTTGTTTATGTTGTAAGTGGTAAATATACGAGCCTTGAGTAATTTGTCATTAATTATCTATATTAGAAATAAATTAGAATTTATTAGAAATAGCAGCATTCCATTTGGTGTTGCAGGAAAACGGCTAAATGGCTTAGCATTAGGCACTTAGGCTTTTCCCTAACATAACCAACTAAATAGATGTTTTTCTCGTCGAATTGGGATATGAAACGTACGGAGATTCCACAGATAATATTTCGATTATAGTTTTTTTGTTGGGAATCGAACAAGAGAGTGAAGCAACCCTCTGTCCTTTACTCAAAGATCATGAACATGGTACGAAGTCATCATTACATTTAAGATGCTAAGTTTGCGATATTTTTATCTTCTTGTTTTCATTAGCCCTACCCTCATATATACCCCTAATCAAAATCATCCCAAATTTGTAAGCCCGTGATTTGGAGATCGACAGTGTAAGGATTTTTGCTATTAAAGTAAATTTTTGCGGATTGAATGCATCTACTTGTGTTAATATGCCTTAGGATTTTATCTTCTCTTTACTTTACACTTCTGTATAGCGTGAAGTCAATACAACAGACTTTTCAGACTCTCGCCTTTTCTTTTCTCGTTCGAATCTCTTGCGCTCAATGTGCCTTTGGATTGGACCACAGGTCAACAGTTTTTGCATTGCACGTTTGCAGTCCTCGTTCATTACAGCATATATAAACACATTGATGGCAGAGTTGCTCAGTGGAAGGATTTCATTCAACAGATGATATAACCATAGATCCAAGGTGATGAGGCCAGGGGAGAATAGGTTGAGAAGAGTTATCATTATTCCGGGCAACCAGCAGAGAACGAAGGTACCATAGATGATGATGACTACCCTCAACACACGCAGTTTAGCGCTAGAAAAACATGAAAAATACTGCTGACGTGGCCTTTCAGCACGATTCTTACCAATAGTAAATGTCAGCATGCCAGATGCTCTCTTCGAGCTTGTATCAGTTGAGCTCTCGTCTGCATCAATGTCATCTTCGTCATAGATTTTTCCAATAGTAGCTATAGGCTTGGCATGTTTTAGAGTTTCTCGGAATATCCTATAGTACAGGAACCCCATTATGACAACAGGCACAAAGAAGCAGGTCACCAATATTGCACCTGTGAATCTAGGATTGCGAGTAAAGCATATTTTATCTTGGTTGATCTCTACACCTTGGAAAGTCATGCTGCCCCAATCGACATTTGCCGTGATACCAAACGAACAAGAAAGGATCCAAACTGAGACAATGATGAATTTCGATCGAGCAGGGCTCATTAGCTGTCCATATCTATAAGGTTTTGCGACAGTAATAAATCTGTCGACCCCTATGGCCAGCAGGGTCAAAATTAGTGATATGAATACGAGGTGATCAACAAAGTAAGCTAGATGACACAGCTCTATACTGGAACAGAACGCTTGGTTGTGTAATGTAAAGTCGATTATAATTGGCATTGCAACTAAGGCCACTAGTAAGTCACTGACTGCAAGAGACAGAATAAACCGATGGCTTGGATGACGAAGGAGATTTCTTGAGTGAAACATTGCTAAGCAATAGAAAATGTTTGTTGCCAGGATGAGAGCCATTAAGAGAAACAGGAACACAGTATAAATAGCATTGCCTCTTGACGTAGGGACGTTGCAAATATCAGGCTGGATGGAAAGTAACGATGAGCATATTTTAGCGTTAATGTGTTGGTTATAGTTAGTTGTAAATGTTGCTATGCCATTTGGCGTTGTCGTATTTTGAATGAAGCAGGCTTTGGTTACCATAAAGTACTTATCGCTTGTGATGTTGTGCTTCTTGATCAGTGTGTGAGCATAGTGCAAGCAGCAAAGAGTGACACGTATGTCTACATCAGCAAGGTTCATATTTGAAAACGGCGTGCATAAGGTCAATGAGTTTGTTTCAATATGAAATCTAGCTCAGCTTCAATTTGAGCGAACCAGATGTAAAAGTTATTCTCCCAGCCTTTCCATCCAGTCTTTGTTATTCTCCCAGCCTTTCCAGTCTTCGTTAAAAGACTCGATCACATGCACTAATACGTCCTTCCTGCAAAATAGAAAAAAATCACAAGTTTAATAAAATTATGCTCACTTAAAGGTGTTTTGAAATAAAGCTCAATTTTGCAACAAGATGAATTTTTTTAATTAAATGAATACAGCTTGAAAGAAGGCCTCAAGATCAGTTTAATTCTTTCATTTAGCGGAAGGGCAGGTGAAAAAGCGTTGCGTTGTTTCTTCGTTATATGGGTTTTCTTCATTACATTTACACGAGGTTATATCTCAAATTGGAGCGTCATTTCTGGTAGAGCATTTATTATCGGAATCATCCTATTTTTTTGGTAAAAGAGCAGATTCAACTAGATATGTTTGATTTCAAAGATGAGCGATATTTAAGCTTCTAGTATCGTCCTAATATACATTTCTGTAATTTACTTGCAAGTGGCAAAATTCGGTTGAGGATATGTAAAAAATCGTGATTAAAAGATAACAAAATATTTTATTAACAACTCTATAGTCAGCTTTTTCTTGCAGAAAATACCAATTTTGAGTTTGCCTGAATAGTAAATAAGTTACATGCTGGTGAAAGCAATAACATATTTTATTAGCAAGCTTTGGTAGGCATAACCAGCACTTAAAAGCGTATAGCAATTATCTTAGTTCGTATAGCAAAAGTTGCTAAATGGCCTACAAAGCTCGTAGATTAGCATAAAAAATGTTAAGAGGGGGGGGGGGGGGGAATTTAAGAGAGACATATCATTGCACACCACTGATTGAAAGAGTTTCGTGTACCATGATTAATCTGAACTTGGGAATATGAAGTTCAAAAAGTGTACATTTCACATGGACTGACACCTTGATTAATCACTTGATTAATGTACAATCACTGCCAAAATTACTTGGAACACCTAACACTTTGGGCTGTGCTTTTCTATTTTTCATTTGTTTTCTTGAATACTACCACTTACGCCCCCCTTTCCCCCCAAAACAATGTTGAAAGTATAGAAAAATATCAAACAGTCCACAAGAAAAAGCGTACTCCATAACCCCTTTCTTTTTTCTATAGTAAATCAACATTGTTCCTAGGGGGAGAGGGGGATGGCTGAATTTGCCTTTGAAAACCTACGTTAGTGTTCCAAGACTTTTGGCAGTGATTGTAGATGTACACCATTAATTAGAAAAGGTACGGGTGCAGAGAGATTACGCATGGGATGTGTTTTGTGATTAATATATAATTTTGTAATCATTTGTGACTTCAAACTTTAAAGCAACAAAATTGACTATTCGTTACAAAAATCACTTCTTTTACGATGATCAGGGTCTCACTAGTTTTTAAAAGAAAATCTTTCCGGAAAATTTTTGCAAAATCTCGAAAAAATTGTCGCTCCGCTATAGCAATTTGGAGTAGAACCAAGAAAAGATTCTTTGATTGAGGTATATATAACTTCAAATGCGCTGTTTAAGACGGTGATGAAAACACATTTTCTTTCATTAAACAAAAAAAATTTGTCTTATAAGGATGACTTCCCTGTAAATTTCGTGGGTACCAGAGTCTCAGTGAATTCCTTTCATAGATCCACTCTCTCACTTAGCCTCTGGTACCCAGTGTACCTACTAAATTGATTTAACGATGGTGATTGGCTATTCTACTAATGAAAAGAGGTTACAGGGAAACCAGGATTGCCGTATTATACTAGACTAGCTTTTATTGGATCTTTAGAAGGTTTGAGAGCTTGAGACTGGCACATTTACATATTGTGATAAGAAAACATAGGCACAAAATGAACGTTTTTGTTTTCACTGGGCTAAAAGAAATTTTCCATTTGGACAATTATCTTTTTAAAACGTTCAGCCAAAAAGATGAGTTTTGGACAGTGATAAGGCTCATGGTGATATCACTGAAATAGTATGAGGCAATAACTAAACTATAAAGCTGTTTCAACAACTATAGAACCATCTTTAATGTCATACTTTGGCATCGTTTAAAAACAAGTACCTTTTGTATGCTTTCTGTACAGAAATGATTGGTTTAAGTCAAACAACGACCAATCTGCAAATAGGAAAAGATGCAATGTATCTGTCCCACGTTGTTATACTCTAAGTCTCAATATCATAATAAAGCCTATAGATGATTATAAATGGACCAATACCTATGTCGAAGATTTTCACCACCAAACATTGATCTTCTGTACATGCCAATTTAAGTAGACTAGTCAGGAATCAGCTGTCCGACTTTTGCAAGTTTTCAAGATTAAGGCCACGCAAGTTTTGGTAGCCTTCAAAAGGCACGCATAACAACAAACATGTGCGTTCCTATTACCTGCAATAGCATTGTTTTTTTTGTTAATTTGTATTGCTAAGTATGTATTCATAAATAGAACAGAGGCACGCCGCCAGACTTTTCTATTCCTGGTCACCTGCATTTTGTTGGAATCGCCTCAATCGCCTCCTGTCAATTGTTCAGATTTCTGAAGAGCGATCAATTTGTTGATTGTATTGATCAAACAAGTTTCTGATGGCGAGCAAAGCATTTTGGGGCTGTTCTGTCATAAATGGCGATGCAGAATTTTATGACGAGTTTTACGAAGATCTAATCAAATTTAGCCCAGAAATAATTCTTAAAAAGAACCTACCAGGGCTTTATTCAAAGACGTTCCCAAAGATAGCGATGAATTAAGTTCGCTACGAAAAGGTTGCCACAAAAGTAAAGACAATATTTGTTAAACCAGGACCGTGTAAAAGAGGGCCCAATGAAAGAGGGCAAAACATGCTATTAATTTTGATCAAAAAAAATTTTTAAAGCCCATTGCTACACTTTTTTCCCCTACTTTGGGCTTGTCGGCAAATTTAATGAAATGACTCAATTCCTGCCTAAAAGATTGTCTGTATATTTTTAATCGGTCGCATTGTCTTATTGCCAACAGTCACACCTTTGGAAGGCCATTTTGTCGGCAAATTTGGGAATCTGCACCCTCTAAAAATATTTTCGGACCTGCCCTCATTTTGAGAAACAGAACAAATCTTGAAATGATCAGATCAGGTATCTTGCTGATGTGGTAGTGGTTGAAATAAGGAATTTCGGTGGAAGATCAAGAGTAAAGAAGACGGTAAATTTTTTTAATTCTAACTAGAAGCTTGCAGACCAGATTACTTTTCTGAGTTCAGTTATTCTACATTTAGCAAGTGTAAATATTAACCCGTTGTTCATCTATTGCCTTGCTTGCCCCAAATAAACTCGCTGGCCCCCAGTAAACTCGCTGATGACCGCGCAGCGGCTGTTAAGTTTTCAATGGTAATCAAAAACAAGATTAGTGAGTTTAAAGAAAAGCATTTGAATCATTTCACTCGCCCCAATCCTATATTGTCTTGTTGACATGGATATATGTAAAAATAAAGGAAGTCTAATTGCTAGCATCACAATAAGTCGGTTATGGGCACGTATTTGGAAATGGTGGCAAAAAGCCGTAAACTGAGTGAAAATGAGAGCTGAAGCGAAATCTTTAGTCAACATTAAGAAAATAAATCATGTCTAATGCAGAGACGATCCAGAAAACACCTGACTGTTGCAGATTCGCAAAAGAAAAATGGCGGTGGTAAAGGGTGTGGCCTGTAATCAGCACTACGCCCTACCTTGATGCAATTAGCAAAGGCTAGATATCACAAAAAAACAGAATTATCTTTTCAGAACAGTAGCAAAATATAAAATCAATATGGTAGTTTTTCTACATCATGGATGCAAGGGAGACAACAGCTTGAGGAAAAAAGAACAAAGAGTTGTTGAACACCTTGTAAGAGACATTTAGACAAATGCACGTGTACAATAGTTTGGGTCATCTACTTTCGACAGAACAATTTGAATATGCACCGAAAGAGTTACGGGGCTCATCGCATCTGTCACCCAGCCAGGATTATCGCTATTGAACATCGTTTTCAGGGGGCAGAAAATGCAGAAAATTAGGCAGTCGTTGCTTAAAATTTCACCGATGGGAAAAAATACAATTTGAATATTCCGAAAAAATGGAACTGAATCATCAAATGTTATTATGGAAATTACAAGAATCTGAAATAAACCACTCCCCCTAAATCTGACAGTTGCAACTGCAACGGTCAAAACCGTCTGGGATGTGTGCCATAGATTTTCTGCAATTAACCTAGAATCCATTTTCAGCTAACTTTTTGTGCAGTAGCCACTTGATACAAAAATGCTTCAAAAGTTATCCAAAGAAAAAGCTATTTAGATTTAGGATGCTGGAAATAACCCAGGCAATTGCAAACCAGTTTACAAGCAGGCTATTGACAATGGCTTGAGTCAGTTAAATCGAACACTTAAATCAGACCCAATCAAGGATACAAAGTGTCAGATATATAAGAAAATATTAAGTTGAATCAATTCATGAATATTACCTGTTTTTTTCTAGGCTTTGGTTTACTAAAGGCAATAGATGGTAGATCTTTATGGCCAAATGCTTAAGTCCTTGCGATCCAGATTCCTAGCAACCAGTGTAGCCTGGCTAAAATTGTTTTTTTCCCGGTTTGATGACGGTAAATCCAGCAAGTGAAATATCCGGTTATACCCCAATAATTTTTCGATAGATATAGCCAAGAAAAAACTTTCATTATTATGCGTTGATGCTTTTCTTTCAAAATCTACGATTTTTCTCAATGCGGAGCGAGGCTGCCGTCAGCCAGGCAAATAAGAATCGGCATTGTATTTACTCCTATTTTTCTATCGTTTAAAGAGGGATAAATCAGTTAATTCTCGTATTATGCAGGCTTAATGTTTTGCAGGTAGGTTGTTTGTTTTGCATCAAAGCTTCTTCTATAACCGACAAGACTGAACGTTAAAGTTCATTCCAAATCGATCAAACAGTTGGGGCTCCACTTTCGGCATTTGTCTTTATCTGAAGCCAAAAATAGTAGACATCGTAGCTTGGGAAAATGCCAGTTGCAATAACAAAAGGCAGAAGCGAAAGTCAATCTAGGGTGCAATATGGCCAATAACAGATATTTTTACAAATTTTCACACGCAACAATGCTGGCTTTTTAATACAATTAATCATGACTCTTTGAAAAAATGCGCTTTGAAATTCTAAGGGGGCCAAGGATCGTTTTCAATCTATTTCTAAAAAAAATGTTTCTTCTGATCGGGAATGATCTGCAATCGCAGAATCACTGCTGCAACGATCTGCTGCGATTTTTCTTGATCAATTGCGTTCTTGTTGGGGAGATTAGATGCAGCAAGTTCTTGAGTGTGAAATGAGTACCCCCGTTTTGGGGCCATGGCACATGCGTATTAAATTTTTGTATTAAGGCTCATTTTACTTCCAAGGGTAAGCAAAAACATCGAAAATTTTATGACGCGGCATAAAACTAAGAGCATCTGCGAAAAATTCCCAAATCTTTATTTTTATTAGAAATTTATTTCTACCAACTTTTAGCTCTGTATCTTTTTTTGTGTTGAGTTATGATGAATGCTCCTTAAATGGACTGGTTCCAAACACCTGTAAAACCACTGAATTTACGAGGGTTTTACAGGCTTGTGTTCGCAGATTCGGCAGTAAAAGACAGGGGCGGATCCAGAGCAAACTTGAAGGAGGGGCAGTTGGTTGTGGGGGCGCTGAAAAATGTTCAAAAATTTAAGACGCGATAACGCTGTATACAACAATTTCAGATCCATTTTCGGAAAAAACAAGATAACTTTGAAGTAATCCTTGAAGCAAATTAACTTACTGGTCTCAGAAACTTTTTCACCTGATTCTCATTCTTCAAAAGGGGCGCACAATTTCCAAAAAAGGGGTGCCATACTTGCTTCAACTCGTCGAGGGAGGGGCAACTGCCCCTTGTTGCCCCCTAAATCCGCCACTGGTAAAAGAAAGTACAAAATTTGATAAGCGTGTTCTGATTTTTTGGCTCGTCGGTTCTAATAGTGTTATCTAATTCCACAACGACTAAACGGCTCACTTCGGCAAAACTGGTATGTTTCAAACTTATCGAAATAACAACGGCTATACGAACATCTAAAATCACGTCTACACTCTACCGACTGAATTAAACGACAACTACGACTCGACTGGACTTGCACTGAAAGAACATACGATTTTAACAACATGAGTGACGCACACAAAACCCTTATGACACAAATTAACGGCAAATGGACTAATAACAACTAAAATAGAGATGGCACGATGAAAAACAAAATGACTGACTCAAACATCGAAAGACATTCTCATTAACAATAACGAACCACAAACACGATGCACGACAGACAAAACTAGTTGTTTAACACACCCCATTCTAAAAATAACATTTAGGGGCAAATTTGAGATTATGGTCTTGGTTTGCTGGTAGTTGTGAAAAATTTATCATCAGGGACGTCATTTCATAGAATTACTGGGAAAGTTTGAGGCAATTGGCTTTACTCGAACACATTTCACCGGTCAAAAACTGTCATCTTTAGCCACAAATAAGGGTGCAAGGAAAGAAAGCTAAAGCTGTAGCCTTTTCTACATGCTCATTCGAGAAGGAAATCTTTGCAGGAAATTTTAAGACGTTGCTTGTTTTCTTCTATTTTTACACAGCTTTCTTTTTTTTCAGTTAAGATTATCCTAGAGTCAGCTTCTTCGCATCGCTTACACCTTCTCAAACTCACTCCTCGTTGTTAAACGTTCTTCCTATTCTGACGCTTGAAAGTTTATCATAAAACACTTTGCCCCCCTCTCTACCACCTTTAGGGAGGGGGGCAAAGTGTTTTGAGTGCTAGTTAAAACCAACTAATTTAAATTACCAATGCTAAATATAATGAAAATCAAGTATAACTGATGTTGCACACGTATTCCTTGCAAATATCACAAGTACCATTGAACGATGAAAATTCCGATATTTTTCTTGAATATTTCTAAAGTTTGTAACTGAGTTCTATATTTCATTACATCTGTATGATACGGTTGTAACATAGTCAGTAGAAAAAACTCTGGTCTGGAAGCCTATTGTTCAAACTCTTTGTTCGTGTTTATTGCATTCACGTGATCTAAGGAAGGGGACGCGGCAAAATTGGAATAGAGGGATTGTTGTTGAGTTTTGAGCGTATTGCGAAGATGTTGTTGATATTTTGAGAACTATGGTCGGTTCAAATTGTGCAATCCCAGGTTGTGGAATTCTTGTCGACATTCCTACGGAGGAGTTGGACTTTTTCGAGTTTCACAGCGAAAATCGCAAGATTTCATAAATTGGAGAAGCGAGACTTTGAACATTGTCAAGAAGTACAAAGCAGTCGACAGCGATTTCAAACTTCAAATCGAATCTGGGAATATTTACATTTTGAGAAACATTACCAGAAAGAAGATATTGAGCTTACTATTGAGTCAATAAATCAATGTTAACTTTAAATTTCAATCGTGTTGGTAGCGCTCGGGGTCAAATAGGGAACGGGGTCAAATAGGGCAATCGGGGTCGTATAGGGAAAAGGTTAATAACTCCAAAAATTGGACCGATATCTCAAAATCGGATTCGGCATGCTTTAAACTACCTTTTAGATGCTTTTTCAATTCAACTACGGTAATTTTAGCAGTGTAAATCACAATGTTTTGCTTCTACGTTAGCTTGAGGCTTGGCTCCTCCGTAGCTACGGGAGATAGATAGACAAAGCAAAAGGTAGTAATCGCAAAGAAAAATACACACTCTCTTCATATCAATCCAAATTTCAAACATCCTGTACCAAGGTTACAAGATTTCTCAAAATAAATAAGCTGAGTGATCGACGCGCTCGGGGTCAAATAGGGAAATTGCCGTTTGGGGTCAAATGAAACAGGGAACTAACCTCATTTCAGCACGTAAAATCATCCAATCTATTGTTAACACCATTTAGCATGTTAGAAATCAAGGTATATCACTTAATAAACTCATATCAAGTCAATGCATCTCATAAATTTAGGCCCTTGTTTACAGAGAGCTCTCCTTCGCAGTTTCGGGGTCAAATAGGGAAGCAGTTGAATTTTGCATTATCAAATCCGTTTTGTTTTTTTTGCCGGAAATCATTATTCCAATAACCTTTTTGATTCAGGAGAATGTCCTCATCTAAAGATTATTGCAAATTAATCACTCTGGGTCCTTGAAAATGATGAAAAGATTTTTCTATTGACAATGGTGTTTTTCAATTATTCTTCATTTTATTTTCAATTAAGAGCTAGTTAACAGTTACCATGCAATAATATATAAAAATACAAATAAAAAAACTGCTCAAAAGTTAGACCAAATCTAGTAGAAATTACATCAGTGAAAAAATTAAATAGCAGAAAAGTTACAGTCTAACCAAAACCCGCAAAAATCAGGCAGCAGTAAATAGACCCCAGAACGGCCAAAGGGCAAGGGGGCAGGCTTCAGTAAAAAGGCTTCCGAAAAATTCCCAGCTTCCATTGATTCGGTTGTAACTGTATTTTCATTTTGGTTCGTATAGGTATCTTGTAAATGAGTTAACTGCTCTTATAAGAGATGTTTTTACAGGTTTTGAGAAATTTTGTCATTAATAGGGCTTTCATATTTATTTCTTTAGTGATTAGAAAGGGCTGATGTCAAGGGCACTTTTTTGAAAAGGGCATATTTGCTCCCTTTGTCCCTCTTAGGAATTGGCAGGTGAGGTTGTTACCCACCCGATCCCCCATTATGCTTTCCCTGCGGCAGTAACTGAATAGGGCTCTGCCGTGGTTCTATACAGCTCTTTTTCTAGGAAAGAAAGGTAGTGTAGAGATTGTTCTGTAAACCTTAGAATCTGGACTGAAAAAAACAAAGTCGGGCAAAAATAGAAAGAAATGGAAAAAAGCTTGAATTCCAACAAAAACAAGCAACGTCTTAAGAATGTTCTGCGAAGATTTCCTTCACGAATGAGCAGGAAATCTTCCTTGCACCCTTATTTGTGGCAGTTTTGACAGTTTTTAACCGGTGAAACGTGTTCGAGTAAAGCCATTCTCCTCAAACTTTTTTTCACAATTACCGACAAACCAAAATCATAATCTCAACTTTTAGCGACAAGCGCAACATTTCCGGCACACGTCTTTAAACAAATTTCTAAATGCAACAATTAAAAAACACTGTCTTGTCTATAGAAGACATTAACTAAATGTTCTCAGTAGGAATTCTTCAAAAGTAGAGAGTCATTCCATTCTTTGTTTAGATGTCAAAATCTACATTTAAACTCCACGTCTACATTTTTTATGAGTGTAAAGCTTGTAATGCATCGCAGTGTTCCAGCTGCATCTCGTCTCCTGTTCTTGTTCAGTTTACAATGGCAGACATGTAATGGAGCAAACATTTTGTCTCAGCTGTCTGATCGAAGCACAA